AAGATCATATATTTGTGTTGAAATGTTTACTAAACAAATATCTCAAGACTGGTGATAAGAAATTATATGCCTGTTTTGTTGATTTTCGAAAGGCTTTTGATAAAGTAATTCATGTTGGCATTATGTATAAACTGCAATTAAATGATATAAATGGAAATTTTTACAGAATTTTAAAATCTATGTATAAGAATGATAGACTTTGTGTGAAGGTAAATGATAAAATGACAGATTTTTCCACATCTGGAGTTGGGGTCAGACAAGGGGATGTCCTTAGTCCAAATTTGTTTAAACTCTTTATAAATGACCTCCCAAGTATTTTGGATCATAATTCTGTTTCTGTTACTCTAGATAAAGAAATGATTTCATGTCTCCTGTATGCAGATGACCTTGTCTTATTACCCAATTCAAAATCAGACCTTCAATGTAGACTCAATCTCCTCCATGATTACTGTAGTGAGTTGTGTCTAGAAGTAAACATAAAGGTAATATTTTTTAATAACTCTGGTAAATTACTGAAGGAAGCATTCCAACTTGGTAATGACATTATAGAATGTGTAAAACAATATAAATATTTAGGGATCACTTTACTGAAGCCAAAAAACAACCGTATCAGAAAAGTTTAAAGGCATGCTTTAAATTCTATAGGGATGTAAAAAATGCTAATCCCTCCTTAAAAACATTTTTACATATATTTGATCACTGTATTAAACCTATAGCTTTATATGGCTGTGAGAACTGGGGCATTATTAATATTACTCCAAAGAGGAAAAATATCCCTCTTTTTGATATATTTAAAGATTGGGAAGTTGAAAAACTCAATATGAAATTCTGTAAATATATTATGGGTGTATCTAAATCTTGTACAAATGTAGGAATCTATTCTGAACTAGGGAGGTACCCATTATATATAGACATGTTAAAGCAAATATTCATGTACTGGTATAGACTAGAACATACATCATCTAACCTACTGAAAGCAGCTCTCAATGAGTGCAAATCAAACATCATCAACAGTGATTGGTACTCTAGTATATTATTCTACAGTGAAAAACTTAATATTAATTAAACACATACCCGGGTATTTTAAATATAAAAGGTCTTTTTATTTTGAAAAAATACTTGAATATGAAAAACCGAGACAATCGGGTAATTCTCGCAAAATTCAGATTTAGTAATCATTGTTTAAGGGTAGAAACGGGTAGATATGAAAGGAAACTTAATAAATGTGGTAAAAATGAAATTCTTCCCAGGTGTGAGAGAGTCTGTCGTTACTGCACCTCAAGTCCAACTGAGGATGAATTGCATTTTTTGCTAGAATATCCACTTTATAATGACTCAAGAAGAGAGTTTTTAGATAAAATCTTTAAAACCTTTCCTAATTTGATACAGCTTACAATGTTGACCTGTTTACATGGATTATGTCAAATGAAAATTCTGAGTTTGTTGTTTTATTATGCCAACTTCTAAATGCAAATTTTGATAAGAGAAAACAACATAATTTAATATAGGCTTATTGCAGATATTATACATTGGATACTTATAATGTACATTCTATACATCCTAAAATAAGAAAGCTAACTATCTGTTCATTATACAATGTTTGTTTTGTTCTGTTTTGTATATATGTATAACTGTGATGATTTTGGACACTGTTCTGTATGCTCCATGTGGGCCAAAATTGGTTGAATAAATATTCTATTCTATTCTAAATATAGAATAAGTCAGGCTGGGAAAAAAAAGTGGGGGGCCAGGCCCCCCGTGCTGCTACGCCCCTGTATGGAGATAACGAACAGCATTAAAGATCAAAAGTCCATAAGAAACAAAACGGGAGCAGAGCAAACAAGGACCTCCAAAAAATCAAAGGTTTGATTAGGTTATCTTCTCCTCTTTTGTATTGGTAGGGGATTGAAATGGAGAGGTTTAAAAATTTACACAGAAATAAAGCTTTTGACAACGGAAAGATAAGAAATAGACACTAAATTACAAATTCAAGTTGTAAAAAAAAATCGAATAAAATCCTGACTTCTAATCCTCAAATGCGATGAATTCTGTGGTCGGCAGGGTATTCCACATTGTTCCCATCGTGACCATGATACTTTTCGTGTTCGACAATAAATGCAATTAATCATTTTTTGTTAGTTTTAATTTGTGTTATGTGACAAATATAGCCGGAATAGCTCAAAAATGTCTTTAAAATCTACCAAAACCCAGGAGCCTAAAGCCCCCCGACCCCCGGTATTCTGTGCCCCATTTATACAAATCCTAGATCCGCTACTACGCTCCATCTTTTTATCGGTTACGGACGAGGGCGAGCGTGATCCCATTGTTCTAATAGTTTATAACATTTTTTTTCCAAAATGCATTACCACAACTTTAATAAATAATTTGTATTACATCTTGATTACTATATTTCTCAGATGTTTAACAGATGCCATTCAGAACTGCAAAGCGATATATTTTTATACAACAATTATTTGCTTCTTATGCTTCCCTTTTTACGTCGTGTAATTTTCTAAAAAATGTAAACATGTGTTAACGTATTTTTTATGCCCCGTAAACGAAGTTTCGGGGTATTTAGTTTTTGTCGTGTCCGTCCGTCTGTCTGTCCCTCTTGTCCGCAAAAACTTTAACCTTGCCCAAAATTTTGATTTTGTGGAACCATGACTTTCATATTTCACATGCGTATTCCTTGTGGCAACACCTTTCTTTGGGTACCACCAAATTTAACCTTTTGACCTTGGAGTTTGACCGAATTTTACATGAAAATTTAAAACTTTTACTTTGGTCATATTTTTATAACAGTAGGCACCAGGTCATTTATACTTAACATATATATAATTTCTTGCAAGACCTTTCATTGGATACCAACAACCTTGACCTTTCGACCTTGACCTTGTAGATTGTTGTACCTGTGAAAAAAATTTATCCTTGTCCATAACTTTTGAACGGTAAGGGATAGGGATTTCATATATGTAATCCTAATGAAAAGACCCTTTGACCTAGACCTTTGAGTTTTACCTACTTTACAAAAGCAAACCATGACCATTACTTTTAAAGGGTTAGGGCTAGTGCTCTCCTACTTCACGTATTAAATCCTTGTGACAAGACCTTTCATTTGATAGCAAGAACGTTTGACCTTGGAGTTTCATGAAAAATTTCATTAAATCACGCGCATGCACGTGCGCTGCAATCTGATTGGCTGAAACTTTAAATGACATTATCTCTTTTGTTTTTTGACGAAATGCTTTGAAATGTAAAACATTGTCATGCATTAGGATATCCTGCAAAATGATTACCGTCTTCCTAGGAAGACGGTATTGTATAGTTGAAGTTTTTTACAGTCTTCGGACTATGCACTTCCTCTCTTTTGTGATTAGTAGAAATTGCATGATGAGAAAATTTTCAATTATTTCATTGGTTGAAATACTGTTCCAGGCAAGGGAGATAACTTTCTGATGATCTAATTTTCGTACGACTTAACAATTTTGCAAGATTTCCAATCTTAAAAAAATGACAAAACGAACAGCAAAATCAGCAGTTGTTAATTCTTAATAACATGGTATTTTTCATAGCAATAAATAAAAAGGTCTCTAATTTCATTAGAAATAAAATTCGATTTTCATAGCTTGCAGGCTTTACAATTTGTAATTATTCTTTTCTCCTTTCTTGTTTGAAGAAGGGAATGGAATCAGCCGAGGTTTTCCGAAAGTTCTCGGCCAGTCAAAGTTTACGGAGATGACCGAGCGACAACCGTGGTAGAGCTAATGCCAGTAAATGACTAATGTAGAAATACAAAATTCAAAAGAATTAAACGGCTTGATAGGTGTAGATCGGTTTACTGTTTAAGATTGTTGCTAAAGAAGGGAAGCTTTTTTAAAAAGCTCTACTTGTATACAAAAAATCCCAACAAATCCCGCGCATACACGTGTGCTGCAATCTGATTGGCTGAAACTTTAAATGGCTATATCTCCTTTGCTTTTTGACGAAATGCTTTGAAATTGAAAACATAGTCATGCACTAGGATATCCTACAATATAATTTAGAAAAAAATATCATGAAATCACGCGGATGCACGTGTGCTGCAATCTGATTGGCTAAAACTTGAAATGGCTATAACTCCTTTGATTTTCAACCAAACAGCTAATGGGATTGAGAACATAGATATAAGGGCCTCCTACAAGAAGGTATGGTCATCATGCACGTACGTGCGTGCATTATGAAAGAGTGAAATTAAAAATAAACTTTAAAGTTTGATTTTTAATACTTTTGGACTAAATGCTTTAATATATAGTATATTTAAATATATAGAAAGTGTAGACAAGACGATATAATCATTACGCACTTGCATGTACATGCACACGCGTGCAATGTTAAAATTTGAATATAACTGATATCCTTCTAGGAAAACGTTGTTAAAGTTATAAATGCACAGATGGTGTCTTATTTCATAAGGCTTACAGGGAATATGGCACCAAAAGGGAGTTGGGGAGCGTTTGGGGAACATCTGTAACGGTTCCCGTTACAATTAGCACACAGCAGGTCGATAAAGTTCACAAAAGTTACCAGTGGGTGCTTACACAGAATGGCGTCTTCTTCTAATATCTACACACGAAAGCATGACGTCATACGCACACATACACAAAAGGGGTACAACACGGAAATATATATATATGGGCTCGGCACAGGATACATACAACGAATTGTACTACACAATTACTACCTTAGTTAGTGTTCCTACCTACCCCAAAGTGACAAAAAGTACTTTGCCAAGGCAAGACAGATAATGAGTACAGACAATGACCAGTGCAGTGAGGAAGAGGAAATATCATTCGCTCAGGATGCCTCTGTTGGCAGGGTACAAATCCGCCAATCTCCGTACATTGACGCATTTCTGGCACACCATTCTGTTCGTATTTAGCTTACTTTAGGAAATCTGTTATATGCAACAAACACAATTAATTGAACAAGTTCTAGTAAAATATCCATTCCTTGTAGATATAATGGACAGTCAGGGCTCCAACTCTTTACAATCTGCAGCTAGTTCTGGAGACAAACATGCATTTAATCTTTTGTTAAAGTCCGGCTTTGATCCATATGAAAAAGATAGAGACAATAGTCACACAGTTCTAACTTGTGCTTGCCAGAAAGGAAGGACAGACATGGTAAAATACCCTATTGAGAAATACCCTGCATTACTCCAGGAACATACAGATATTCGAGGAAAAAGTCTTCTGCAATGGGCAGCTTTCAGTGGGAATATTGATATATTTGAATGTATGCTAGACATCTTTGAGAATGAAAATATATTACATTTATCAAGTGGAGTGAAACCAAAAGTAGATGGAAAAGATTATTCAGGTCAATCTATCCTGCACTTTGCATGCGAAAAAGGTAATTATGATATGTGTAAATATCTGTTGAATAGATATCCTCAGCTACTGGATGTTTGTGACAATGATGGGGAAACTGTCCTCCACTTCGCAGCTCGAGGAGGTAACGTAGAACTTTTCAAATTTCTGTTAAGTAAAGGATTAAATGTCAATAGTACAACAAAAACTGGGAATACTGTGGTACATCTGTGTTGTGCTGAGGGCAGAGAAGAAATGTCTAGGTATCTGGTAAATAAGTATCCAAATTTAATATCTTTTAGAGACAATAATGGATGGACAGCTTGTGCAGGAGTTAGTGTAGAACTTGTGTCTTTTCTTATAGAAAAAGGAATGGACATTAATACCTTGTCAAATAATGGTAAAAATATTCTGCATTTAGCCTGTCTCAATGGGAAGTTGGAAGTTTGTGAATACTTAGTTGAGAATTATCCCCATCTATTAGACATCAAAGATAAATCTAGCAATACAGTTTTGCATGCTGCAGCCTCGGGAGGCAATGTTCAAATAGTTAAATTATTGATTGATAAGAAGAAGGACATCTATACCCTGCAAAAAGATGGTGAAACAATTTTACATCAATGTTGTTACTATGGTGAAATGGAGATGTATGAGTATCTGGTCAATCATTTTTCAGAGTTAATAAAGATCAGGGACAATAAAGGGTGGACAGTATTACACTCAGCTTGCAGTGTCGGGAGTGTAGACATAGTTTCTTTTCTATTAGACAAAAGATTAGACATCAATGCGTTGTCAAATGTTGGTGAAAGTATATTGCATATTGCTTGCCTAAATGGTGAACATGATGTTTGTAGGTATTTATCAACAAATTATCCAGATTTGTTAGCAGTTAAAGATAATCAAGGTAAGTTAGTGATAGATATTGCCGCTGAGCATGGTGACATTGACATGATTCATATTCTGAGAGAACGCCGCCATTAGGAACCTTCTTAAAATCTTCATCAATTCTGAATTTTCATTGAAGAAATGCTGAGAAACATTCATGAAGAAACTCTTTCCTAATACTTATGTAATAATATTGATTTCATATTGATTTTAATTTTACCGGTAAGTATTTTATTTCAGATGCCATTGAAAGTAATAAAATAACTTTCAATGATAAACTTGATTTAAGGTAAACCTTTACTCAGATGACTTAAAATTCTGCTGATAAAAATGAAAAACAACCTACTGCACATTGTACACCTATAATTCTTTTGTTCAGTTTCAATTTAAAATAACTAGGTCAATGATCCACTTTTCATGCTAGTGGTCCCTGAATATTTCTCGGGAAATACCTCAGTTTTTCACTCTATGACCATTTTTTTCTTCACTCACATAACATCATAAGCACAAAACTCTTAAAATAATGAAATATTATTGCAATGGAACAATGTTGCTTCATATAAAGAAACGATTAGAGTTTTGGCCATAAACTTGATAATTATTACAGTCCGAATTTCCTCTGTCATAGCTATATTTTCCTCCCATTTTTTATGGAATGTTTAAACAATCTGACTTATAAGAACTCTAAATTATTTATAGCCTAATATTGCCTTTGTTGCCATTATTCTCATTGTATTAGCACCGGAGGGCTGCTCTATACGGGGATTAGGGTGGGAGTAGTTATTCAGAATTAATGGTTATCTAAACATTGAAAAGTTTTTTAAACAGAATGTTCTTTCCCTTTATAAATTACGACATACATAAAATATTTACTTTCATAAAGTGAATTTGTAAAAAAAATACGAGGGCTGTTCAATAAATAATGTCCTGAACTTTATGACATACAATACAGGTTTAATATGGCATTAAACTTGACTTTCTCTCATTATTGAATCTTTACTGAATTTATAACACTTGATGTGACCTCTTTTCATTACATAGTTTCATCGTGAGAAGCTGGGAAACATAGGCTATTCGAGACACTGCATTATAAATGAATGGTAAAGATTCAGAAAACTAAAGTGAAAATAAAAGCTTCATTAAAGCTGCTGTAAAACTTGTTGAAAATCCAAAAGAAATATTCACTGAAATATGTGACATGTACAGCAATCAATACCCGTTATATAGACAAATGAGCAGGTGGATTTCAATGATAAAAAAAATTAAATAATGGGCATCAAAGATGGGAACCCTCCGTCTTTGCCAACAAAAATTATAACAACTTATGTAGTGTTCGCACAATTTCAACAAATAATATTTGATGATGTATGTTTGACTTTGAGACATATAGCAAATTTGATAGACATCCTATCGGGAGTAGTTTACCCTGTTTTAAGAAACATGGCAGTAAAAAAGCTTGAAAAATGAGTGAAAACTACAGCGTGTACGAAAGTCTTAACAATTATTTCAAAATATAAGTTATTGTAGTTATCCACCTTTGTTTTATATTCAAACAGATATTGGAACATGAATCTATTGGTTGAAACCCTCATTAGATTTGCAATTTTCCAGTTTACTAGGGGTCATACCCAAAAATGAATTCTAAAAACTACCAGAAGTTGGATAAGAATTTTTATCGACATGTGTTTTAATTGAAAGAGAATATTAAGTTAAAATTTTAAGACTAAATTATTCAAAGGCGTATTTTGCTTCTTTCCGAGCACCGAGACATTATTTATTGAACAGCCCTAGTATATGTTTTTATATTTCATATGTAAAGTTGCTTATCATTTACTATCGAAAAAACGACAGGTCCCTTTTTTAGAATATCTTTTTTTTCTCGTTTGAAAACGTGCTATACACAGTTCGTGTTTTATATTCAAAAATTGTAAATTAAAATCATTGTTGAATAAAGGTCATGCATGAGTCTGTCTTCAATTCATACTTTATGCAGCCGACATTAATTTTGGGGATTTGCTCAAGTTTATTAAAATGGTATCGTTTTTGTTTGATTTTTATCCGTCTATAAGTTTCCAAAATATTCGCGACTATCGACTCAATCATTTAGACGCATGCCTTTTCGCAAATATTGAAGCGGTTTGATGATCAAGACTCATTTCCATTGTGTAATTTATATATTTCAAGGGCGACAATTGATGGTTACATCAATGTTTCCTTTTCTGTTCTTTTAAATAACCATAACATTTTAAAATGTGTTGAAGTGTTGAAAAGATTATAGTCGTTTACATATGGTTTACGTAGGGTCAAGAGGGTATGATTATTCCAAGCACAAGACGAAAGACCACCTTTAAGCAATCGCTTAATGGTAGCTTAATGGTGACTTAATGGTGGCTTAAAGAAGTTAATTCCTTTAAGCCACCATTAAGCTGCAACTTACAGGTGCTTAATGTCCAAACTTCATTAAGCTACCATTAAGCCACCATTAAGCTGAGCTTAATGGTGACTTAATGGTCAACCCTCATTAAACTTTTACGCATCTTTTATAGAATCTTTGAACTAACTTTTAGTTATTTTAATATCATTTACGCAAAATCTATTCCAACTCATAATTCTGTCTCGATCATAATTTCTACGAGTTTTTTGTCAACATGCATAAACTTGATCACTGGGAACAAAGTTAGCTAATAGCCACAGGGGCTTGCTGGAGGTGTCTAATTTTTTCTTAAAATCATTTACAGTGATAATAAAACAAGACATCCTGTATCAGAACCGTATATTATTTTTTTTAAATAAATCATTATTACATGCGTTGTTTTTATTTTTAGTGTATATGATTTTTAAAAATAAATAATTATTACACACCGTGAGCAAGTCCTTGTGAAATATCTTAAATTTACAATACCAAAAATCAATTTGTTTTAAAATTATCTATATTCATGAACACAAAATATATATTACTTTTTAAAAACAAAATGGTATTTTTATTTCATGTGTTAAAAGAAACATTCCGCTACAGAATTCACAGGAATATAACTATATAATCTCATGAAAAAAAATCTCTGTCCTTTTTTATTGGGGGGGGGGCTACTGGGATACAAATGTTTAGTTTTCAAAGATTGACTTTTACCATGAAAAACTTTTTAATGGCTTTTACATCATGAATAATTCTAATTAATTCGTTATTTTTTTTTTAATAATGCAGCGGTAAGTATCTGTCAAAATCTAGTCGGTCTTCAATGATTGTTATTTCAAAATCGATTTTCAGAGGAACGGCCGATCAGATTAAACATGACATCCGACCAGATGTATACACATTGAGAAACGGGGTAAGATTAACAGATGATCAGTATACAGTAAACCGACTGGTCAGACAATAGACCTTAATTAGGTGTCCCCCCCGTCCCCGGTTAACTAACAGGAAACTATACATACACAACGTACACTAACAGATTTTAATGATCAATTATTTTTTAAAAATTTAAATTTAACGCAAGCATATAACAATTTAAAAATTATGATTCATCGTAAAAAGTCAATTATTTTGATACCCATTATGATACAAAAAGAATTGAAACTGAATATGATATTCTAAAAAAAAGTTTTTGTAAACGTAATTAACCAGGTAACTCTTACGCGAGGATTGTCACTAAATTGTTGACACAGAAACCGTTAATATCCGCAGTATATTAAAAATAATAGTAGAATCTGTTTTTTCCTCTTTCTTTTTCGATGATAGACTTTTGTATTTTATCTATAATTAATTTATTTTCAATTATGATTTAATGCTTACATTTCGAAAATTTTCGAATAACAGAGCGAAGAACTCAATCACATTACATCAATCTAAAAGCCGAACTCAGTGTAGAAATATATATTAATGTGTTAAGATCCACAAATAAAATTGTTTACATTTTGATTAATAAATCAATTCAAGACTTTTGGAAATGTTCAACAAAATTCTAGTAAAAACCTTTATAAGTCCAAACAAATTTTGAAAAAAAATAAAGGTTAAATATTTAATATTTTCATTTCATTATCAAGAGCGGCGATAGCGTAATGGATAAGGTGTTAGCCTTGCAACCCTAAGGTCATGGGTTCGCGCCTCGACTGTGGCGTTTTTTTTTGTTTTTTTTTCGGATTTTGAATTTCGTTCTTTTTCATTATTTTTACTAAATCAAGTTATAAGCGAAATCTACATTTATAATTGATAACAAATCACTATAAAAATAATTTTTCACCCATATAAACAATATTATCGACTGCGTAATGTGGCTTAATGGTGGCTTAATGGTAGCTTAATGGTAGCTTAATGGAGTTTGGACATTAAGCACCTGTAAGTCTAGCTTAATGGTAGCTTAATGGTGACTTAATGGTGGTCTAAAAGTTACCATTAAGAACCTGTAAGACACCATTAAGCTACCATTAAGCTACATTTAAGCACCCATTAAGGACTTTGAGTTGGCTTAATGGTAACTTAATGGTGGTGTAAATGTTACTTAAAGGTGCTTAATGGTGACTTAATGGTGACTTAAAGACAACCATTAAACCACCATTAAGGACCTATAAGCCACCATTAAGCCAGACTTAAAGGGTGTGTTTCATCTTGTGAAGTAGGCTTCTATTCTCATATGTTAATTTCTCAAGGTTCGATGTTTTATGTTGATTTACAGGGTTCCGTGTTTTATGTTGATTTCCCAGGTTTCCGTGTTTTACGTTGATTTCCCAAGGTTCCGTGTTTTATGTTAATTTCCCAGGGTTCCGTGTTTTATGTTAATTTCCCAAGGTTCCGTGTTTTATGTTGATTTTCCAGGGTTCCGTGTTTTATGTTGATTTCTAATGGTTCCGTGTTTTATGTTGATTTCCCAGGGTTCCGTGTTTTATGCCCTTTCTACATATTTGTTATTCTTATGGTGTGTTTTAGACCTATCACTGTGCGTATGAACCTATTTTCATATGTTGATTTCCTTAGGGTTCCATTTCTATGTTGATTTCCTAGGGTTCCGTGTATAATGCCTCTTCACATATTTGTTATTTTTATGGATTTTTTTTCAAGATTGGTCATTGTGCGCTATATTCACTTTTTCATTGTAAGTTGA